CGTGTTATTGTTCAAGAAGGGTGACCTACACGATATCGGGAACTGTCATCCAATTTGCTTGCTGTCTGTCGTCTACAAACTTTTTACTCTAGTCGTCCTAAACAGGATTGACAGAACACTGGACGAAGGACAGCCATGTGAGCAAACGAGATTTCGAAAAGGATTCAGTACGATGGAAGACATTTACACGATAACAAGACTCAGTGAAGTATTGCGAGAGTATAGAAGTTCGCTCTGTCTCACTTTCATCGATTTACAGAAGGCCATTGATTCAACTGAGATAGAAGCGGTCATGGAAGCCTTTGATAGTCAAGAAGCCCCTACTCGGTACATAAGGACTCTTCGTGAGTTGTACAAAAAATTCACAGCTAAGATATCACAATTCTACAACGATATTACCATTTACGCCAAAAGAGCGGTTAGTCAAGACGATACCATCTCGCCAAAATTATTTACCACCACCCTCCAGAACGTTATGCGAACACTGGAATGTGATAACATAGGAGTTAAAATGGATAGTCGGCCATTACATCATCTTCGCTTTGGCGATGACATTTTTCTTATAACACCAAGCATTAGCCAAGTGGAACGAATGCTGGCCGACTCTAATAAAGCCTGTGAAAAGGTTGGTATTCGACTGTAACTCACAAAAACGATGTTGGTGAAGAACGGATTGGTTTTGTATGCCCCATTCACGGTCAACGGAACGAATATCTCCGAATTCCCCAGTTACATCTATCTAGGTCGGGAAGCCAATATGATGAACGACTTAGCTCCAGAGTTGAGCAAAAGGAAACGAGCGGCCTGCAGAGCTTTCAAGGGCATCGAGAATGTGGTGAAAAAACAAAAGACACCCGACTCCTTGCCAACCTTTTCGACTCAATGGTACTTTCTGCTCTAAAGTATGCGTCAGAAACCTGGTCTATGCGTAAGCAGGATGCAGGGCCACTCAGCGTTATTGAACATGCAGCCGAAGAGGCGATGCTAGGAGCACCCATTTCATACAAGTAAGGGAAGGGATCCGAAGCTCCGATCTGCGTGAACGATCAAAAATGAAAGATGCCGTTCTGTTCGCCAAACATTCGAAGAGAAGTTGGCCCATAATGCGTATGAATGACAACCGGTGGACGAGAGCCGTTAGTGACTGGATTCCTCGGGGTGTCAAACGTACTGCAGGAAGATTACCGAGCCGATGGTCGGAGTTCTTCACAAAGTGCCTTGAAGAAAGATATGATGCTCGATGAATCCTTAGAGCGAACAGAACCCACTGAACTACTCTTGCATGCGAGAAGGAAAAATGTAAGATTTACTGGTGCCCGCTCGAGTCACTCAACGGCGAAAGGGACTACAGGTGATACAGGTGATACAGGTGAATGGTCAAACAAAGGTAGTCGAAAGTGTTATAAGACACCGCTTCAAGCACTTTTTTATAAATATAAATGACACGACCCTAGGAAGAATCGTGTCAACCAACATTCAATGACGTTCATGACAAAATGAAAATCCTCATGCTGCAGCTGAACCCATAAGCAAAAGAGCTGAAAGACCTACGAGGATGACGGACAAGAGAAAACAAAACAAACGCAAGGAGTGCTAGAATCAGCACGGTAGATGTGAAGACGAGTCGTGTGAAAAAAGTGCATTTCCTTGTCAACTTACCGTTACTCACCGTATGATCGGTGCACAGTTGTTTGGGAAGTTCTGCGTAGTTTTTCGCATCATAGAGCACCTTTACGTAACTTAGACATTCAGTGTTTGCTATCACCTACTTGGAGCTCTTCATTAACGACCAGCTTGCGCCAATATGGCTTTTTGTATTTATTTAAACATATTCATGCGCGACTATGCAAATTATATTCTATTAGCTCGGCTAAAAGCCTGCAATCGAGTAACTGAGAATCACGGGAAGAGTCAGGAGTCACTTCTTACAAATGAGCTTCACGTCTAACGTTGGAGAAAAGACTGGCAAGTCACCGGTGAATGCATATATTCTCTACGCTGAAACACTGGCAAGCAATGCGTAGATATCAATAACCAAGTACTGCAAAATAAAACCGCCTCATTGCCATAACCCTGAAAGATTTCCGATATGGCGACGTGGGGCAGAGAGACTGTACTAAAGCCGAAAACCAGTTTTAGAACCTCTCCAGCTGGAAGAGTTCTGGTGACGCCCTGCAGCTGTAATATATGTGACGCTCACGGTGTTACGTTACCAGAGTTTCTAGCACGAAAGGATAGCGTTTACTTAACGCGATCTATGACAGCGATAAAGCGAATCGTCCGAGCACACAACGAATGGAGAGTCGGCGGCGTTAGAGTCCTTATTAGCAAGAGTTTGGCTAGCAACACTGAGTTCTATGTATACTTAACTACCAGAATCGGAGCTCACGATTGAAGAAATTTGAATCAATTCCAGCTTTGATAATCTTCGTCGTTTACAAGCCAACATCAAACAGTGAAGAAGATAAGATCAAAGGTTTTATATAAACTTGACAAAGTACTACAGGGAACGCTAAACTAACTTTAAGGTCGTCACTGACAGTTTCTACGCTAGGTTGAAATTAAGGGAAGCGCCTGAGCAACGTAACATCGTGAGCCAACAGATTATCATTGGAAAAACACACTGAGAGGCCGTTAAAGCTTATGTCCATGATAGCCAAAAGCATCCATGGTAACGAACAATTCCAAAACCTCTACTCTCAAGGTTGGACGTCAGATTTCAAATTTATTAAAATTCATTGACTTTCCTGCTGCGCAAATAGGATGTTATTGCTACAGCATTTATTAATTCATAATCACGAACTTTGGCTGACCAGATTGCGTGTCAGTTTGACCGTCCAAGGTACTGAAGAAAGCGAAACAGCCAAAACGTCAGCTATTGTATTAGTGCCGCAATAAACGTTTAACTAACAACCTTGTGTTTGCTCACCAAGAAAAACAGTGAGCTATTGAACAATGCAGAGGCTAGGAGAACATCGGTCTTGGGATGTGGACATTGAGGCTTGCGAATAAACTGTAAAAGGATAAAAAAGGATAAAGCTCTCGGCGTTGATCAATCCATGAAGTATGCTCCGTGCATTCGACTTCATTAAGTATCGTTTGAGGAGATTGAATGCATATCTGGCCTTCACAATGACTTGCGGTCGCCTGCCGATGTATCGTGCCAGTGCTGTTATCCTCCCAGACAAGTTTGATACCAATTTGCCGACCCTAGAGAGATAGAAGCCTTGGTGAGCCGTGGGCGTCGATTCCACGTGTGTGTCGCAAGAGCGCCTCCAACCGCTGCGCCACCCGCGTCTTTGGCTTTCTAATGAAATGTAACAGAAGAAAATATACCACACAAACGCACTCCCTTGAAATACAAAATATTATCTGTGTTGCTAAAAAATTTCTTTTTTTAACTCTAAATTACAGTCTGCGAACAAACCCACTTACTTGACACCGGATTGGAATTGTTCTGTAATATATTTCCGTGCCAGTATCTGAACACATTAAAAACCATCGGCCGACTTAACACTGTGCAATTCTGTCCGGCGTTAATATCTGCACAAAAAAGTGAGTTAGAAATCAATTGTGTCCATTCTACATGCGTTTGCCTTCATCTGACCTTTAAGTTCACCATTAGAGTTTGGTGTACGTTTCTCAGTGCACATCGGGGTTGGGTTGTGGTTTATTTTCCACATGCTGCTGATCCTACTCTATTGTTCTATTGTAGGAACTAAACTCATACGTTTAATATTATCATTGTATCGTTTTACTGCTTATACTGTTTTCTTGCACAGATGTATAGCTTCCCAAGTTTGGAAAAGACGTTCTGCAGTCAGTAACGCATAAGAGACTAGAACGGCATTGAAGAAATTGAAGAATAATTGCATTCATTTGGGTGCCTATTATAACATTTCGTCTCGCTCAAGCGATCAGTTCCATCTTCGGCACTCTTCTTTCAAACTCGATGTTGTATGTTGCCAAATAACAAACATTTGCAAATATTTCATTGAAAGGCTTCGACCAGATGAGTGCCACCTCCGTGGGTGATCTTCACAAACTACATCTATGTATTTTCCTTAAACTCTCGATAAAGACAACGTCAGTTTTTGTCGAATAGAAAAATAAACACTTAAACCTATCCAGCGAAGGCTGTTTAACTACTATATTACTCACTTTTTAAACATTCAATTCTGACCACAACTACCGACTATTTGTTAACCCATACTATAGCAAATCGAAAGTTTTGCTTAACCGATGTAACTGTCATCCCAAAAATTCATACGGAGATCCGGCCTTCATCTAATTTGCACAAGAATCTTTTTCCACAAAGAGGAGTGAAGCTAGCGAATTCAGGTCGCGAAATCCCATAACCACCGTGAATTGGGATTTTTTAAGATCCTTGATCGGCTTTTAAAAAGATACTCTTGTCGGTAGCATCGATGAAGAATATCGTCCTCATATTCAGCATTTTAACGTCAAAGCTGTGAAAGCCGAAGATTCAAAAGCCACTAAAAAACGCCTTTCACTAAGATTCGAACCTGCAACTTGTCGTCAAACCAAAGCATGTATCCCTTATCCGCGTTTTGGACTCTTTCATTCTTTCTACCTTAACTAGGTAGGAAGACATAGTCTGCATACAAGACACAGGCTAAGTAGGCTGAATCAAAGTTATCGAAAACACTGGCGATAGTATAACGCTGGAATTATCCATTATAACGGAAGTGAGAGATGGAATTGAAACTGCTACTTAGGGCAAAAATGAAAGGTCAGAGACGTAATTATGCACCCTAAAATTCTGAAAATTAATTGAGCCACCACTCTTGCACGTAACAGCGACAAAGCAGGGATTTAATGGCATCTGCTGAGTCATTCTACAATTAAGGCAAGAAACAGGTGACGTATGCTACTTAATCTTGTTTTAATTATTTATTTCTCGTTATCGTAGTGTCACTGCCTCTACATGTTCTTTCGCTTCGCCCAATGATTCAGATACAGAATTCAACCATAGGTCATTATCGCATGCCACTTTTGTTCTCGTGGAGCTTTATCCATTGTAATTGCGACTCGGTTCCATCGTCTGCCCGATAGTGTATGGGAATTGGCCATCTGGTATTGGCTTGTAATGCACCATCGAAGAAAAAGAGAGTCTAGATATTGAAAAAATCTTCGAGGTTAATCTCAATAAATAGCCCCACTCTCAAGAACCATTATTCATCTTCAACAATTTTTCTTCGTTTTTAGTTCGTCATCACCGATGATTTCGTCCTTTTTTCACTTCGTCCATGAAATGCCTAAAGTCTTCCATTTTTTAAGGCAGAGTGGTGCTTTTAAGTGTCGAACCGCAACGGACATTTGAAGACTTCGAAAAAGGAGTTGCCGTCGTAGAGGAAGAAACTTTATACCAAGGCTACAAATTTGTTTTAATAGCAATGGTGATGTCCGTGAACGCCACGGGACAGAGACACCACGGATGAAATACAAGCATAAGTTTACGATTGGCCAACAACCACAGTGTAACCATTCCATGACTTAGAAACACACATTGTGCTCCTTAATTTATGAATTACAGCTCAGTGGGATGCAGCCAGTTACCACCAGCTAAATCAAAAATGCTCACGGAAGGGAAACCATGAGAAACACTCGCTGACCTGAATGTGTACAGTGACCTCCTTGTCGGATAACGTGACAAAAATCTCAGGACATCCGACCTTCTTGATATGGGTATCTGCTACATCTTGAATAAAAATTTCATTGAGGAGTTCGGTGTACTGAAATTGAATGTGGTGTGCTCTCAGACCGAATTTAGCTTGACTCAGGATGTCACGTTGATTTCTTATTGTCGCTCAATAGCATTTTTCATTAAACTTTATTCATCCCTTACCCAGCCCTTAGTTTACTCTTGCAACGTGTCTATCCTGCTCATGCACTTTTTTGAAAGAAAACAAAAGATGGGAAAATGTGGAGCACAGAAAAACATTAAAAGAACAAAACCCCCTGACGTTTTCGAACCTTTTGGACGATTTCCCAAAGATGTGAGTCCTTCGAGTTAGCGTACGCGTATTTGTTGAGGCATTCGATAAGTGATCGTTTGAAGATCGTTTCACCCGCCAAATATTCGAATATTCGAACGATCGAGGATTCCTGAAAAACTGTTGTTTTACCGAAAAAACTAAGCATTGTCAGTCATGTATAACATCAATGGTTCGATTAGGAGATGAGGAACAACTTGCGATCGAAGACATTCACTCTGCTTGAAACATACTCAAAAGTAACTACACTTAATAGTTACATGAATTGTCTATCCCCCTGGTTATGGAGGCTCCAGCATAGTCTCCATATTTCAAAGATTTGCTGGTTAAGCCATTGTGGTTCCCTAGAATCCCGTGTTCAGTCTGGTCAAAGTGTGCCTCAGGTCTTCACCAACACAACCAGTCACAGCCTTTGTGGATCAGAGGAAGATTTGCCACAATGCAACTTTGATACCAGGACGGCGGTGGATCCTGGATTTGGTTTGCTCTTAGCTAGGCTACGTGATGGAAACCCCGAACTCCTTCTCGGCTAGGGAAACCTTGACAGTAGGATGAATCTCCCCGCTGTACATTGAAACCCGATACCTAGAAACACCTTCCAATGTAAGAAGTGCGAGACGAAGGAAAACTTTTGTGCTCAAAATTTGGAGGACCGCCTCTGGAGGAGAATAGTGGGCGGGTCAGTGTTGATTTGCAACTCTATTAGGTCTAATGCTAAAGTAGCTTTGCGAAGAAAGTTCGAAGACCTTTTGAGTAAATCACATAACACAGCTTCAATAGCGCACAAAAATATCGCTAAAGAACATTAAACAGATCACATTAGGATAGGTAATGTGCAAGAAAATTCAAGGCTAACCGTGTTAGGAGGCATAACTCTCCCTGACGGTGCGCGCTCGTTATTAAAATTGGGGTCGAGTTTCTGACCATCTGAACCCACTTCTAAGATAACCTTGCGTAGGGTCGCATGTGGTTTACATGAACTTCAAGATAGACTCCGCAAAAAAGCTAGAGATGAAGCGCTAAATAGGTGCAAACAACGTCAAGTGGGGGCCCTACCAATAGCACCATTTCCACCAACGTTCTTTAGACAGCAAGAGCCCAATAATGAAGTTGATGTTAAATTTCGGGTGTTTGCGAATGAAACTGTCAAAGTCCTTAATCACTATCGCGCGAAAAGATACAGCTCAAACCTCACTCCAGTGCAAAAACGTGGTATGCGAGAGGTACGAGAGCTGATAAGGTTGAAAACCATAAGACTTTCCGTTAGTGATAAGAGTGGAGAGTTAGTCGTAATTCCTCATCAGTTAGATGTGGAGATAACGAAAAAGCATCTTGAGGATGCTTCGCTTTATCGCCCATCATCTGAGGAGGAATTCAAAAGTAAATACTGAAAACTAAACCACGAATGGGCCAAAATGGCAAGAGCTGCTGGTTTAAAACCATCAGTTATCTCTCAACTTAAAGTTGCCTTACCAACATGCCCCGTCTTGTACTTACTTATAAAAACTCATAAGTTAGTATCCAGTGATGATCCTGCGTCTAACAATCCATCACTATTTAAGGTTGGACCTATCATTAGCTGCGTAGACGGGCCAACGGACCGGATAGCATGGCTTTTAACCCTAATATTTAATCAGTTGTTGAAACACATTCCAGCCCATCTTACGAATACCCAGATGTTTCTGGATCATCTACGTACTGCGCAGCCCAACAGCGTGTGCGTGATGGAGTCCTTCGGCGTTACCGCCCTTTATACAAACGTATCGAATGACTCCGCAATGAAAGCCATATTCGAACTCCTTACACAACACGAAGGAGAAATAAACATGTATGGCTTCACGATAGAGCACCTGATGGCACTCTTAAAAGAATGTTTGAGCTGCTTAATCTTCAGATGGACCGGAAAGTACTACGTTCAAATAAGAGGGTTGGCAATGGGACAACGACTGGCTCCAAGCCTTGCCATTGCATTTATGTCTAAAGTGGAAGCACCGGTGACTGATCTCGGGCCGCTACTCTACTGCAGGTATGTAGACGACTGCTTTGTCCTTTGCTCAACACAAGAGGAAATGGACAAATGCTTCGAATTGTTAAACGCACAGTCAGAGTATATCAAGTTCAACCGAGAAAAGCCGAAAGAAAAATGGCTTCCATTTTTGAACGTACAAATTCACCTATCAAAAAATGGCTACATTACAAAGTGACAAAGCCAAGTAGTAAAAACATCTTGGTTCATTACCTCTCCTCTCACACCTCTCACACGAAAAGGGCGCCTATAAGAAACATGTTTCGAACAGCAACCAACATGTGCACGGGAAGAGAGCAGAGAGAGGAGTCCCGGAACTTGGCACGGCAAATAGCCTTTTTAATGGCTACTAAACTGTAGCTCAGGATAGGTGTAGAGAAAAACGTAGGCCTCCAAACGACAACTCTAGCGATAGAAGGGTCCCGTTTATCTTACCCTTCATCTCAAATGATGTAAGTACAGCTATAAAACGCTGCTTAAGAAGGGCGGGATTAGAGAATTCGGTGAGCGTAGTTGAAATACCACCGAGTAATCTTAAGCGCCAGCTAGTTCTTAATCGCCTATATGACCGTCTATGTGCAAGTCAAAATTGCATAATTTGCCCTAGTGGTAGAGACGGTGATAGCATGAGCTCGGGTATAGTTTATCTGAACTCCTGTAAGACGTGTGGTGACGAATACATGGCGAAACAGGTAGACCCCTCTGTGTCCGCATGAAAGAACACCTAGCCGGCAAAAATAGACCATATACCCTGCTAGGCACGCATGGGTCCCAGAGACATAACGGGGAGGACTTCGAAGTATGTGTCACGATCCTCGCACGCGAATCAAGAACACAGGCGCGAAAAACTCTCGAGGTACTGGATTAATTCCAGAAATCCGAAAATGAACCGCAGGGAAGAATGCCTCATTGTCACGCGTGATATAGGGCAGTATATAAAACTACTTTTCTGATATGAGGGGCACATTATACTTCCATGTGATTTCTGTGCGGTTGGTCTCTACGTGGCATACTTAGTGGAAACCTCATAGGAAGCGGTGAGTGTGCAAAGCTGTGTCCAAAGTGATTCAAATCTTGGTTTAGAGTTTCTTTGTTTGGTTATGGAGGCATCTGGCCAAGTGGATTGCTATCAACTTGATCTTTCCAGGCTCTGAGGAAGGCGAAATCCGCCGAAACGTCAGCTTAATCGTGAACAAAGAATAATAACACCTCGCGTTTGCTCAACAAAAATACGAAGAAAATTACTTGATCAATGCCGAGGTTAATAGAAAGTCGGTCGTAGCAGTTACTCACAAGTTAGTTTTTACTTTTCCATAACTGAGAACATCAAACAGTTTATGAATGTTTGTTTCTCTGGGGTTAAGACTATAGATGGTACGTGAATTGCGTAGACCATCTAGTTGCTGACTTGACACCATGTTTTCCCCACAGAATTTTGTTATCTGAAGGAAAACACTGTTCCGACTACAAGTGGCTCCAATAATTGTCGTACTCGCATTATTTTATGAAAATTTATCCCCTGATTCCTCACCACCAGTGTAGAAACCCACATGAATCACAAAAATTCTCAACAATGGCAAAATCTCTGGGAGCTTTTGAGTGTACTAGATTGGAAAAAGCTATCTTCAAAGCTCTAGTTCTACAGCTGCTCACGTTTCTCTCTCGACCACTTTCTTCAATGTCGAAAAAATCCTTTTTTCTTCCGGCACGGAAGCTAAAACCATGCAAAGCCTGCATGAAATGGACTAAAAGATTGAAATCAACGAAATCAATCACGAAAGAAGCCAATAACTTCTAGCGCAGTGCAAAAGGATATTCTTATCAAATCCAGTGTGTGGTGTTTCTACACATTACAGCAACAAGCCGGTTAAGTAGTCGCACAATGATGGATGATAAATTCGTCTGCCATGGAGAAAGCCTTGGAATCCTCTTTTACCAACCCGCTGCATTCAGCGCTATCTTGAGCAATTTGTTAAGAAAAAATTGACATTGGACAACTTTATGAATTCTGTGTAGTACTAGTTAACAGATAAATTTCACTCACGTTTTTCCATTCAGGGAACCGTCGATCCACACATCAAAACTCCATATAGGTGGCGAAGCATTCGCTCAGTCACAAATCATCCATCGCCACCAAATTACCAAACCACTAAGAAGAAAACAGCGCAGCTTTATTCGCAACGATATTACGCATTTTACCTACATTGACAACTTCCTATGGAGTGTTTCGAAACCTTGTTTGAGTTTTCTTAAATCGAAGCATTCTTTAGTCTTTCTAGATAAAGAGAGAATACCTGTTAGTGCGAAATATTTTAAAAACAGTTAATCTTATTGATTAATCCCCACGTCTGGAAAAAAATTAGCGCTGAATCTCCATTCGCCAACCTGATGGTAAACTTCGTGGCAGATGACGAGGGTAATATACTCCTTGCTGCTTGCAGAAGTCACACCATTGGTGTAAAGCACTAGAGAATCACGAAACGTCATCATTCCCCAGCTTTCCATGGCTTCTGCGCTAAAATCGTCTAGTGAAACCGGATCTGTAATCTCTTCCATTTCATTGAACACGAAGTTCTGCTGCCTTTCTTTCAACCGCCGGTTTCCTCATCAAGTCGGAAAACGAAGAACGTGATAGAGAAGGTGGTATAGTCGCTAGCAGTTCTTCAAAATCGTCGCGAACCAGTACTGTCCTATTTTCTAACGGAGACGATTCATTAAAGGCATAATCGTTTGGAAGAACAAAACACCCTCCATTTATCTATAACACAGTCCGGCTCTCATCACTTAGATGCCTTCGTGGTATGTTAATCAAAGCGTCAGGGTGATTCCAGCCTTACAGCTTGCATTCATTTCAACAGGTGGAGATGGACAAATGTTTTGTAAATTCACCTGTGAGGAACCGAAAGAAAACTGGCTTCCGTTTCTTAACGTTTAAATTAACTTATCAGACAGCGGCTGCATGACAGATTGGCACCGAAAATGAAGTAGTAAGAATATCTCTGCTCATTTCCTCTCTTTCCACCTCAAAAAGAACGATTGTGAAAAACATGTTTCAAACAGCCACCTCTGTGTGCACGAAAACGAACTAAAGGAGAGATAGCTCGACTTGGCTCGGCAAATAGGCTCTCAAATGGCTACGAGATAGTTGCACCTCACTAGACACGTTTAGATGGAAAGCGACGTCCCAACCGATATGCTCTACCGAAGCCAAATCCCGTCTGCCTTGCCCTTTATTAGCAATAAAGTAAGTGTAGCTATAAAGCGTTACTTAAGAAGGAAAACTCTAGAGAAGTCGGTGGCGATGATTAAAATACCACCGAATACTTTTCGCTGTCAGTCCGTGTAAAAGAACACCTACTTGGCAAACGAAAGACAAAACAGTGTACCCCAACAGGGACGCATAGGGTACAAAAACGTAGTGAAGACTATTTTGATATTAAAGTCACTTTCCTCGCACAAAATATCAAAACACCAATGCGCAAAATTCATCAGACTTCTTGGATAAATGCGGAGAATACGAGAATAAATAACAGAGAAGAATGCCCAGAAACACACTTGATCTTGTCCTGGGTTACCATTTGATTGGTCATGTGATCCGCTCAAATTTTCATCTTTCTATTTGTGTTATGAAAGCGTATAGCATAATAAATTGCTTATCACTAAACCCTTCCAGTCTCTGAAAAAAGGAATACTCCCGAAACATCAGCATTAACGGAATGAAGAAAAAAGTAGCAGCTCGTGTTTGCTCGACAAAAACACCGTGAATTCTTTGATCAATGCCCAGGTTAATAGAAAGTCGTTCGTGGAAATAACTCCCGTATTTGTTGTAACTCGATTCAATGTTTCAAACAGTGACGTCTTTTTCAAACTCACCTTTTTTCTTAAAGTGTTTCCATCTCGTTTGAATAAAAACCCGTCTCGTCCTCTATCGTGATAATGACGCTCCATTAACGAGCATCAACCGTTTTCTGTTCAACCTTTAAGTGTTCATACATTTTACAACGAATCACATGGAAATTCTCACAAGCATCAACGGTAGCTTTATTCCTCAACTAAGGAATTCTCATGGAATGATTGCCCATTCACACATATTAAAGTTTTCTACATGGATTCGGAGAAATCTGCTCAATAACAACAGGAATCATGAGGAAATTGTTGTTTATTAAAGAAAATGGTTCCCAACAGCATGGTCAAGAAAATCCCATCCATTGATAAATCCAGTGAATCATCGAGTTCTACAATGTGGAATCAGCGAGGGACGAGAAATGAATGAACCAGAGTTTTGCTCCCGTCCCAAACTGGTTACCAGTCAAGTCATCAACTTTTGATTGAAAGCTCAAGGTTGTACATTAAGAGAGCTATCGTACGTTCGGGTTGCACCACTTACGCAACTTTAAACAGCAGTTTCTGCTAGTGCCGCTGACGGTAACATTTAAGTGTTTAAGTGCACTCCTTTTGATGAAATCATTCAATGGTTTCAAACCGACCGATTCTTACCCATATTTTTTAGTGCATAAGCTATGTTGACCACGGATCCCCTCATATGTGGGATCTCGAGCCGGTTAGTCGTGAATCTACGTGGCACGTCCCCAGGCGGCTGATAGGTGGTTAATCGCGGTCCAAGAGCGACCTTTGCTTCCCTGAGACGCAGGTGGATCCAGGTGATGGAATCCTTGTTTCTGCTGCGCCAATTTGGAACATAATTTCTGTACCTACGAGGCGTATTCATGCATGCGTGTGTGGATGCGTTTTGGTTTATGCGGATTGTATTCTACTAGCCAATTCGGCCAAAAGCCTGCAATCAAGTGACAGGGAAGTATATGGGAGGCGGTTAGGAGTCGTCTCCAACAAATAGACTCCACGTCCACTCTGGAGGAGACTGGCAAGATACCCACTAGTATGCCCAACCCCCACATTCAGAACCGGCCGAAGTTCCGGAACCACCGCAAACTGGGATTTATTCAATTTATTAGTCAGCTGCTGGGAAGTTGTTGATAACATCGGCGAAGAATAAGATCGGCTCATTCAACATCTTCACGTTTGTGCTATAAAAGCTAAGAGTTAGAAAGACATCAAAAAACGTTTGTCTCCAGAAACACTCGAACTAATACGCCAGCTTGGAATCGCGCGATCTGCAGGCAACCGTGAACTAACGTCCGAACTTGCAAAACAATGAAGACAGGTGATAAAAGAAGATCTTAAAGAGAAAAGCAGCAGTAATGAACAAAGTTACAAAGGTAGGGAAAAGCATTCGCAAAGTCCACCGATGCTTCCTCAATTACAAGACCAAGATGATTGCACTCCGACGTCCAGACGGAACAATTACAGCGTCCAGAAAGGCAATGTAGAAAAGCATTCATGATCACTACCCAGATCTCTTCGACAGCCACGTCCACCTTCCGTTATATAAAACAAAAGAGGATGGATATGTTGTACCACCGGTTCTCCCTTCTGATATCCGACATGCCATTTTATCGGTGAAAAATCGAACAACACCAGGTCTGGACAGGTAAAGATAAGAACACCTGAAGAACCTTCCGCCCGTTCTGGAAAACACACTCTCTCGGCTCTTCACACGTTAACTGTCTGAATGCAAGGTCGCTACTCAATGGAAGATCAGCAAGACCGTTTTATTGTTTAAGAAAGGTGACCTCCACGATATTATCAACTATCACCCAATTTGCTTGCTGTCTGTCGTCTACAAACCTTTCACTCGAGTCATCTTGAACAAGATTGACAGAACGCTGGACGAAGGACAGCCATGTAAGCAAACAGGGTTTCGAAAAGGATTTAGTACGATGGAAGACATCCACACGAAAACAAGTCTCATCGAAGTACCGCGAGAGTACAAAAGACTGCTCTGTCTCACTTTCATTGATTTAAAGAAGGCTTTTACTCAGATGAGATAGCAGTAGTCATCGAAGCCCTGAACAGTTAGGGAATTCCTACTCAGTACATAAAGATTCCTCGTGAGCTGCACAAATTTTTTAAAACCAAGATATCGTCATTCTACGACGATATTAAATATTGACGTCAAAAGAGGAGTTCGGCAAGGCGATACCATCTCGCCAAAATTATTTGCCGCCACCCTCCGGAACGTCATGCGAACATTGAAATAGGATAATATGGAAGTGAAAATCGATGGTCGGTAGTTACACCAACTTCGTTTTGTTGATGACATCGTCCTTGTAACATCAAACATTAGCCAAGCGGAACGTATGCTTGCCGACTTTGATGAAGCCTATGGAAAGATTGGTCTTTGACTAAATCTCACAAAAACGTTATTCATGAAGAACGGATTGGTTTCGCATACCCCATTCACGCTCAACGAAACGAATATCTCCGAATGCTCCGGCTATGTCTATCTAGGTTGGGAAATCAATGTGATGAACGACTTAGCTCCAGAGTTGAGCAAAAGGAAACGAGCGGCCTGGGGAGCTTTCAAGAGAATCAAGAATGTGGTGAAAAGAATGAAGAACACCCGACTCCGTGTCCATCTTTTGGACTCAACGATGGTTCTTGCGTTAACGCATTTGTTAGAAACCTGGTCGCTGCGTAAACGAGATGAAAGATCACTCAGCGTTATCGAACGCGCAGTCGAAAGGACGATGTTAGGAGTGTCCCGTTCCACACATGTGAGTGATGAGATCCGAAGCTCCGACCTGCGGCAACGATGAAAACCAAAGATGCCGTTTTGTGCACCAAACAGTCGAAGACAAGGTGGGCCGGATACGCAGTGCGTATGAGTGACAATCGATGGACAAGAGCCGTTAATGACTGAATTCCTCGGGATGTCAAACGTGCTGTAGGAAGACCACCGACCCGATGGTCAGAGTTCTTCACAAAGAGCGTTGAAAAAACGTATGATGCTCGACGAGTCCCTGAGCGAGCAGAACTCACTGGGCTTCTCTTGCACGCTACAGGGAAAAATGGAAGATTAACTGACGGCCGCTTGAGTCACTCGACAATGAACGGAACTACAGGTGATACAGCCGAAGCTATGTTGAAATAATACGCGAAATATTCGAGAGCACGAACAGCCGTGTTGAGGCCAAATTCCGGCTGACCAATTAGCACATTCCAAGGAGCATACAACGGAACTTGAATGTCGAAAGATCTATTAATCGTCATTGTTTCAGTCGTCATGTTTTTAGACGAGCATATTTAGGCGTTGGCCAGTCTCGTCGCGAAATGCAATGCATTTGAGTCCATTAAGCATCAGAGGGCTAATTGAATACATATTTGGCTAATACAGTGTTTTACGTGGGTCTCATGACGTAACATTATCTTCCAAGAAATTTCCGATACCAAATTGGTCATCCCGGAGCGAAAGGGTCTTGTTTAGCCAGAAAAGGTGAAACATCGACTGCGTCTGTATTACTGGGCCTCTGTAACCATGAACATATTCGTTTTCATTTTAACAATAACTGTGTTTTAGGAAATTACGCTTTTGAAAGAGTTATACTTGAGCAAAATGGTATATTAACCGAAACAAGCACTTCCCATGGTTCACTTGGTTTCTGGTTGTCAAACTACGGAACGGTTCCGACATTTCTCTTTGAAAATTCATCTGAAGAGCCAGTGTAGAACAATATCGGAAACCAGAAATGCCAATGTACAACAATACCAGGTTCAGCGTTGGGTAAGAGTAGTGCCGAAAAGCTACAAAAACCTCAGAGCCGTTTTAGGCTGACAAAATCGCGAACTACTGAGGTGACGATATGTACTCACAAAGCACGCTCACCTGCATCTCAGTCCTCCATAGAGGATTGAACAGTGCAGGCAAGACGCCATCGAACCCGCTGAGACGAGAAGACGTCGCTTATTCAACGATATAGAAACTTATGTCAATTTCGTTCTAGCTTAGTAATGCAAGGAAATACAGGCCAAGAAGTATGTGGGCTTCCCAAATTTCGATTTACCATGATGTGGTGTATTTCGTTATTGTCCTCTTTGTTGGAAAACTTCCACGTGTATTGACAGGAAGCTTCTGGAATTGCTACCTAACATGAACGGTCTTGGCCGCCATGTTCAACTCGGACAGCTGCTCACCTTAGTCTTTCAATTTTAATCCGTAGGTCTCAGTGTAACACTCTCTAGACGTTTATTCGGGTACAAGGTTAGCTTCAAGACCTCCAATAATTACGTTATACGTTGGATAATGTATATTCCTTTCTGTTTAAATTTTCCTAGTCCATAAAGAACGCTTCGACTTCATCTTCGTCATAGTTTGATGTCCGCGTGTAAATGACGGAAATTTTCAAAGCCGGTATTGATCCACATATTTTTAGTCGTAAACGTCTGATATGGATTGTCGTTTCTCGAATGATTCGATTTTCATGGCCAAACTCATGTTGATAAGAAACTCGACACCGCCTACTCCTCTACTGTCGCGTTTTCCGAGAAATACTTCTTCTTTAGTGTTGAAGAGATGGCATCCTCTCCTTTCAACCAGTTCGGCAAAATTTCGTCTTATTCATCTTCTCTGCAACTTCTAAAATTGATAAAGTTCTCTATCGAGGAGTTACATGCAAGTCTGTCTGCATTGTATAAAATGAACCGCAGGGAAGAATGCCTCATTATAACGCGTGATATAGCGCAACATATAAGACTGCTATTCTGATAGGAGGGGCACATTACACTTCCATGTGATTTCTGTGCGGTTGGTCTCTACGTGACACATTTAGTGGAAACCTCATAGAAAGCGGTGAGAGTGCAAGGCTGTGTTCAACGTGATTGAAATCTTGGTTTAGAGTTTCTTTGTTTGGCTATGGAGGCGTCTGGCCGAGTAGATTGCTATCAACTTGACCTTTCCAGGCTCTGAGGAAGGCGAAATCCGCCGAAACGTCAGCTTATTCGTGAATAAAGAGCAATAACACCTCGCGTTTGCTCAGCAAAAATACCAAGAATTACTTAGTTGATTCGTGATTCAAAAATTGCCCTTGTAGTGCTTAATAACGTGACAGGTTTTTGGTTTTAAGGAATGAGTCGTTCTGCTGTGGTGCTGTAACGTTCCATTGGTCTCCCTCATATTTAGCAACTCGACGCCATTCGTCAGTCTTTCTTTCCACAACCGAAGACACTTTCCAAGAGGTGTAGCTCAGTTGTCAAAGTAGAGCGCGGAGCATTTAAAATGAACCGTCTCTTACAGCTTTTCAATGGCACTGCTTCACTGACCCGGCGTTGAGGATACAATTCGCTTATTATCCGTCATAAATAAGCAAAGGCGTTTCGATATAAGGAAACAAACGGTATGAAACAATTTGGTTCCGTTATTCAGGTATGCCTTAGCAACAAAAGGTCAAAGTCTCACAACCTTTATCTGTTACCATCTAAACCAGTCCGCTAGCCATGTTGTGATGTGCTTCGAGGACAAAATGTTAAAGTCTTACATTCCTTAAATGTAATCAATCTTACGGTTTCCACGTGGTCCTCAGTTCCTGGGTTATGGTAGCAGTTGCCATGAGCGACAACCGTGTCATCATGTTGGATGATGAACACCAAGCTGTGGGCTATCGAGGTTAGTCGTAGCTTTGGAATGCTAAAAAAAAATTCTGCTTACAGTAATAGAGCAAATGGGTTCTAGTAGGAGCTGATCCCACACCACTCGTCGACCAAATGGCCAAATTATCGACGAATCTTTGAAGGAGGCAATACGTATGGCAATACGTATACAGTGGTCTTTCTAAAATTTATTTGAGAGATAGAACTATAACAGAAACACGCAAGGTATTTATTCGGCTAATGTGTCAACGAATTCGTCTTTCTCAGAGCCGATCATCCACGTTGAGAAGACGAACGACTGTTCTCGTCTTTAAACGAAAGCTTCCCGGGCTTATGACTAAAAGAGGAAAAAAGTATAGTTTCATCGCAAGGATATTTTCTATAGGTTAAAGTCTACTGGGAACAAATCCTTTTGTCAGAAGTGGTCTAGTTAGCCTCACGCCGGATCATTCGTATTTTCGCAGCTGCTTATAATTCTACGCATACGTCAAGGCTTTCATTCCTATAATTCGACTTTTTTCCACTTACGGAGTAGTAGCATAGTCACTAAGAGATCAGCTGACGTTTTCTCATCCACATATTTAAGTGCTTTCTCTGAGATAGTTGTTCAAAGCCTTGCATTGTTTTCACTATGTCATAACACAAGAATAAACACTCACTGATAATTCTTAGTGTCGAGAATTGCTTATTGTAAGTTAACTCAATGTATTTAACAAGTTGTCGCTCATATTGGCTAGTATGTCGATGCACTTCTTCTCCTTTAGAGCGCTGAAAAAGACACAATCGCACAACCCACTTAATGAAAACACTTCTTAGTGGGCATTGCGCATTAGTTACTTGCGATTACCGTAGTATTATTCGATTTGGTCACATATTTTCCGTAGGTGTATGACTTGCACCTATTCGATATCATCTCCTGTTTGTGCATTCATGCTCTTAGGCCATATCTAGCTTTTAGGTGTGATAAAAGAAAGCTAGTCCACTATCCCAAACAAGCACGTTTATAGAAGTCTCGTTGACGATGTACCATCTTTTTGAGACGATAAAGTCCACCAAAGTTTTAAACATTGCTACGTAACTGCTAACAGATCCATTCTGCAACTCAATCGTACAGGCTAACTTGTCCGAAAGTATAACGTAGCAGATTCTTCGTTAGTAAAGCGCAATTAGAACACCTATCCATGGATCAGCACCAGCATGAAATCTGCGATTCCCTCCAAAAATTCGGGCAAAAAAAGCTCTGTGCGGCAAGAGAGGCCATGAGAAAGTTGTGCTCAAGAAATCAAGATGTATAGTCCGAAATGTGCAGCAGCATAGTCATCGAAATTAGTGCATATAATCGTCAATCTGTCAGTATTTTAACCCGAAGAAAAGTCTGAATCCTAGCCCTCTATTACAAAAATCTCTTCTTAAGAAGCGAGAGCACTTGCACAGAATTCACAGAGGATAGTGAACGAAGCTCAATCAGGTGAAAAAAGTTCTGATATACGACGTCACGTCACGCATGATACTAAGGCACTTGCATTTTTGTTCAATTCCGGATTCATAGAAATGATCGGAACTCCTCGAGAGCTTTTATGAGCTTAAAAGCTTCTAGTTCTTGCATTATGATTTACGTTAACAAACTACTTACTGCGCCATTAAATGGATAAGCTTCCGATCCTGGGCGAAAGTTCCGCTGAACCTTACAACTGGATAACCAGGAACATCATCTTGTAACAACGACAAGGTAGGCACTTAGTTAAAAGCATTCTGCCTTCAGTTTCGAAATCTCCCCGTTTCGTCTTAGTGCTTGGGTACCTTGTCAAACACTTTTGCTAAGTGCTCCTCTAACGTAAAGCCAGAGGATTCTTCTTTTCGCCAATACTTCTACTACTTTACGCCTTGCTCAAAATTAGGTATTATGTTCCTAAAATTCGTCCAACCTTTGGTTTTGTAATTACGACAAGTTTTGCAATTTTTCGTCATAATGGTGCGTGGCACTTTAGAGCATATATTGGCTGCTTCTGATTTTAAGACCTTATCTAAATAATTGGCACAATTTCTTTCAGTATGAATGTCAATTCAGCTGCTTCAGTGCTGTTAGTAGCACTATTTTTGGTCGAACAACTACCACAAGGCTCAGCAGCCCGAAAGTTGGTGTTCGTACAGGCCATTTGGAGACATGGTGATCGTGCTCCGCAATCCTTACCTTATCCCAATGATCCGTATAAAGAAAGAGCATGGAGACGAGGATGGTCACAGTTAACGAATGTGAGTCTGTGATACTTCTTTCCTCTAACGCATCTAAACATCCTAAAATATGTTGTTTACATCTTTAAAAAAGCACATCGATAACAGCATACCTTAAATGACTTGACGGTATCTTGCTTGTAGCTTTTCATTTAAAGCATTTACGCGAACTGGACACCCAGCGTTCTTGGCGGCAATAATTTGAAAGCCCATAAATAATCAATATAAAACTGCTAAAGTAAATAGGGATTTTTATAAAGCACTAGTGAGCAGGTTAAAGTGACGACAGGTCAAATATTCGGCAACTGAGACGAAGAAATTTCACTGAGGTGACTGAGACGTTTATAAAAGTTGGTGAACTTCAGATGGGCATAAGACAAATGAACGAGCTTGGAGGTTACTTTCGAAATAGATACAACAGCTTTGTTTCGGCGCACTTCATTCCTAAGCAGGTATGGTTCTATGTAATCAATAACAGAGTGTTAAAGATGGTAGTACCAGCGTTGAACATGCGCTAAAGATACGCCATAGAATAGAGGCCATGGAAAATGGTGGAAGTGATCGAATGAATCTTTTGCCTACGCCATTACTTTTGAGGAATAATCTATATATTGAGAAAGTATTTCTTTCAATCCAGACCGATACAGTAAAAATCTCCAGCAAAATATTAAACCCATGATTTTGACTACACCCGCTTTCCGAAGCTGACCGTGCCCACCATCTCTCAAGCGCTGGTGAAATGCTGCCGAACTAGTTTGGAAGGGAAAATTCATCGGTAGAGCGACATCCTTAGGTAAATCTATAGAACAAATGTGCATTTCATCATTTCTACGATGCTAAGTGACGTTGAACACAACGTGCATCCATCAGGGATTTATAAAAAGAAGACGCTTTGCCCACTGTGACTACTCAATAGTGTAACATTTCCTCCACTCCTGATGTTTTCTCATGTTGCATCCCATTATATACAATGCTATTAATCACCAAGAGCTGCTTAGTAAATCTCTTATGGTCAAAGGCCATAATCGCGAAAATTTCTATACGAAACAGTTTTTTTGCCATTATTGAAAATGAGGAAGCCAAGGCTAACAGTATCTTCAACTCACTACGAGGCAGTAAATCAATGTGAGATTTACTCTGTAGTTCACGAAATCTCTGAAAAGATGTACATGACTTATTTGGCCTGAAAGCCAAAGTTTTAAACTGTATTGTGACTATATTTCCTTACAGGTGTATATTCGTTCATCAGATTCGGATCGAGCGCTTACTTCAGCGCAAGCTTTCTTATCCGGATTTTATCCAGCCAAAGGTTGTTTTAAATGGGAACGTGGAAATCATTGGCAACCAATACCGATTCACTCAGCAACTCCTGATGAACCGGATTTGGTGAGTGTTAAGGAGAGATGCTGTGATCAATCGTATAAATTCATGTAACAAAGAGAAACAAAGCATCCTTCGTTTGCTTAGACCGCGTGGTTCGACCTACACTCGAGAAGCAAATGTGTTCAAACTCTTGATTCTCACAGGGCCAGTTGTTGAATCTCCTGCAAGTGATGTAATAGCCGTTTGCTGTTTGCTCATGTGTTCACCACGTAAATGCAAGTACCGTAGTATTATAGAGGAAACTAGCGAGATTTGTAGAGACTATAACAACAGTTCTAGAATCCATTATGGTCTAATTTCCTCAAAAAGCAACACATCTGATCTCTACGTATCAGAATCCGTCGCGATAAGACCTTAATGGATCGAGACACACTAACATTACTTCCGAAGACACCGAGTATCGTAATAATTCACCATGCACAACTGCAAAAGAAAAAATAACATGCAAGAAATAGTGATTGGATGAGGTGAAAAAAATTTACAAGTCAACTTTCCCATGAGAGGACTCCCTGTTTCCGACGTATGTTTAATAATAGTCTAATAATTTTAACTTATTATTTACTGCCTACTCTTTTTAATGGCAGGGTGTATTGCGAAATATAGCTTCAATGATGCTGAGATATTTCAAAACTCCGGACCGTAGGTGTCTACGGTGTGAACGCGTTAGCCTCCGGAAAGGGTAATAACGTGTTCGTTCCCCACCGTAGGCATCAGCGATCCGGGATTTTGCAAATATCTCAGCATCATTGAAGTGATATACTATTTGTATATAAATCCCTACATGAATTCGAGTAGTGCTTTCTATCAGCCATCTTCCATTAGTTGTTTTTCTCTTGTTTGGCATTTACTGTTGCCAAACGCACAGCTATCCACTCTTGTGAATTTAACAACAGCAAGCTAACCAATAATCCGACGAGGCGCGGTAAACAACGGTGATTAAAATAGAAAGGATCTGAAGCTGCAAAACTTCTCTAGAAAGTCACCTTCTCTGTGAATTTGTGTTTTTTCCTGAATATGGAGGTACTTTGCTGCTTTCTTCTTTCCAGTTGCTCAAGCCCACATCTGCTGACTGTAAAAACTTGGACAAATTGGTGGACGAAGAAGAGGCAAAGCAGGCGAAACATTATGAAGAAGTATATAAGGATATGTTCAAGTTTCTCGGAGAACGCACTGGTATCGCGAACTTTTCGTATGAAAACGTTAACGATATATACGACGTAAAAAGAGAGGTAGGTGGATAGAAATGATGGATGATAAAGTTCATTTATAAGCTGATAGCTAGCACACTTAGACAGCAAACATCTCTTACAATTTTCGTACCAGTACTGAGGATGTCCTTCAACATATGAAACCCTGTATTGATTGCCTGTAATGCATACGTGGGTGCAGGGCAATGTGGGCGAATTGCATCATATTCCATAAAGCACTTGCGACTCACTTTGCTATACGTAGCTTTTTTATTCCACTTTTTGTTCTTAGTCGGTATCTTGGCCAAGACAGACATCATGCGAGGTGTGGCTCGTGAAAATCTGCTCTCTTCAGTTCGAAATTTACAGAAAAAATCTTCTTCTTGCATGAGATCACGTTAAACCGAGAGTCTATCGCTGTTGAAGAGAGTATACATAAAAGAAACTGTGTGGCCGCTGAAGTGGTGTAGAAATGCTTCTGCTTGAACACCGCAACTTAACACTTTTCGTATGACAATATAATAGGTCCTTGAGAGACTTTTTCGCAGTCACCCGATCCTCAGAGTATATATTCATGAGCTTCAACACAGTTTTTCTTTGGTAGCAGTCCTCAAGCCTTGCTAATGTTTAAAAGTTGTCCCCAAAACGTCTAGTTAATTATCACAATTTACAATTTGTACACATGTGCAAATTGCAATTACTACATAGATTTGACAGCCTTCGTACAGAGTTTCCAGTTGGAGCCTACGTATAGCACTCCTTAAATAGAACTTTCAAGCTTTAAACAAATGAAATTCTTCACTTCAAGCTTTTAATAGTCATTAAAAGTGTAGATTTCCTGTGATAAGTAGTGGAATATTTTAAGCAGCAATGTTTCCTACAACGACTGTTTAAGCGCTTGGGATGTTTCTCGGCGTGTTTGCAGTCTTCATGTCACGATATCTACTTTTAAAAGCATTCATATAGCTTCCATGTTCTCAGCAAACGGGTACCGATTCTATGTAAAAAAGAAGTCAGTCGCATTACAAGCGACGCCGTTTCCAATGTAACTGAAGTAGATTTCTATCCTAAAGCTGTTCAGAGAGGATTTCCAAACGCCCTCACTATCATTCCTCTATACCTTTTCTTCTCGAATTCGCATCCTTAACAGTCTTCAAAGCGAGGCAAAGGACGTCCTGCCTTCTGCTCCACTAATCCAGCTCTGTCACTCTCGACGAGGAGTCGATCAGCACAGAAATTGTACACCATTTTGGTGGATCTTCTAGAATGTTCTGCAAGAGTCATAGTCGATAATTCTTATGCTTGATTTCCAGATGCAAGCTATAGAAAATCACTCATTGAGCTCTTGAAGCTCTTGATTTCTGAAGCTATTGATTGTTGCTTGAATTGAAAACAATACCTGAGAAAGTTCTTACGAAACTTATTACATCCTCTTAGGAAGCCTCTTCTACAAAATAGCTTGATGGTCCTCAACGTGTCCAGACTTTAGCCAGAAAAGTTACCGTTTATTGTCGGAAAACCAGCACTGTTTAACACTTCTGGTGTTTTAATCCGCCCGAGCTACTGTTTGTGCAGCTGAGATGAAGTTAGGCGCCAACGTTAGCAGCAAAGCACATTTGTGCGACGGGCATTGTTTGTTACTGTTTCCAAAGTAGAAAGGAAAGCCGAGTTACAAAGCGAAGATTAACAATAAAAGGGAAGGGATTGTTTATGTGGTGAGGAGGACGGAATTGCCGGCATCACCAATATAGATATCACAATGAGCGCGGCAAAAATTAAATGTTTTCCCATGCAGCTGTCATCTAAAATTTAGTCTTATCAGTTTAACGCTAGTAACTTCTTTACCATTAGTAAACTTTGCAAAACATCGATTTGTCATTGCAGACAGAAAATGGGCTGTTTTGGTCGTTTTGAAAATCAGTGGTGAAAAAGATTAGAAGCGTTTTGCAAGTGAAATTTCAACCACCAAACAATTTATCAACAATATTTCGATTATTTCGAAGTTATTAAAATCGAGTGCTAAATGTTCCCAAGTCCACATTTAAACGCAGAATTTACCACGATTCGCGTTTGAAATTGCCGAAGAGTCTAAATAGTGGTCAATCTCGAGTTTATTTCAGCTCATCAATAGAATGACGAAAAAGCAGCCGCGATGGGTGTTCAGACGCTGGTCGAAGTACAACAATCGAAGCACGATGGAGATAATGAGTGAACTGCGCCGAATTCGGAGAATCACCAAGTTTAACTCGGCTACAAAAGCTAAAGTACTGAGCAGCAATGATTTTTGGCGCAATCGGTAGTGCTGCGTGTCAGACGGATTTTTTGGTCATTGAATAACGCATTTTTACTATGCTGATTTTGATAACCTGAAACAAAACGACACGTTAAATTGCATGGAACCGTAGGATTTTATGGCAGACGAACTAGAGAACAACGAAAGTATCGGCCGTATGTGCATGGAAATCATCGCACTGCGCCCTCAGGATTTATACTTCTTCACTTTTTAACAGGTCATTTAGATGTTGGGCGGTTATTTGCTTAACAACTGGTTACAAAATGCTAAACAAGTTGCCAACGGTACGATGACAGATCCGGAGAAGATGCTACTGTATTCGTCGGTGAGATTTATGAAGAACACTTGTTTACCTATTGTTTCTCAAAAACATACACTACGGTTTGTGTAGCACATGTACTTACCATTCTTTTGTTTATCAAAGATGTAGACTTTTCTAATAAAATTAAAAGAAACTGTAATCTTTGAAAAAGTAATCACTAAACTATTAACAGCATGACGGCACGCTGCTTTCGTTAATGTATGCCATGGGGGTTGCCAATGATCAGATGATACCGTATGCTTCGTCGTTTATCATGGAAATCTACAAGCATGGAAAGGATTACGAAGTTGAAGTGAGCGCTATAAGCGTAATATATTCTTAAAACGTTTACATTTCCATTCCATGTACATTTATCGGCTTATTTATCATATGCAGACACATATGATAAAGATATATAAAGAAAGATATAATCATACTTACTAGCAAATTTGCGCAGGAAGGGCTTGTAGAGCACTACTCAGTGGTGCCTTGGAATGCAAACAAGATCGATTCTTGTTGGCTCGATCCAACGCCTATGCTCATAAGCTCTTCCATCCCTTCTGGGACTGTAAATTAGAACCACCTCATCTTGGAGGATAGCACCATTCTACTGATGCGTCGGTAGGCCATCGCAAGTCATTGTAGAGGTTAAATATGCATTCAATCGCCTCCTCGGTGCTTGACTGCGCCGAAGGTACGACGTTTTCCTTAGAGATTAATCAACGCTGAGAGCCTTATTTATCCTTTCAGAAGCACATTTGTTGTATACGTTGTTGTTGTTGTTGTTGTTGGTCGATGGCTGACGCTCCGGTGATTCGGTCTTCCTCGAAGCTTCGACGTACTTTATACGATAATAGCCTAATAATTCGATAAAAAAAAACGTGATATTCATGAGGATCTAAGATATAAATGAGTGCCACAAATTGAAAACTACTCACTATGCTGTTATGAGTGGGACTGCCCGCGTGTTGCTCACGTGGGACGACGAGCAGAACCTACGTGCAACAACCACAGCGTATTCGATGTTTAATTAACGAATGAAAGGTTATTTAAAAAAGGTGTCGTTTCAGCTTCTATTCCGTAACACCACAACAAAACCACCATATGCGCTCAAGATCAAAGGTTGCGGCTCACCCTGCACCGTACAGCAAATGGCGAAGACTTACACTAGCATGGTGTTAACCAGTTATGAAGAGCAGCAAGCGGTACGTTGTTTAAATAACAGAGAGTTGTCTACCACATTAACAACTTTTTTTGCTTAATATCTCTTCATATTCGATTTTACATACCACCAGCCTCAGTGATCCTCCCAACGGTTTACCGCCTCATCGTGGCTGGGAGGTGTTCCTGGTTGGCGGACTGCGATGTACAGCGGAGGATTCATCCTCTGGCAGCGTCTCCCAAGATGAGAAGGAGTCCGGCGTTTTTATCAGAAAACCAAGCTAAGAGTAAACCAATACCAGGACCCACAATCGTCCTGGTATCAAAGTCGCATGGTGGCAAACCTCCCTCTGGTCCACAAGAGCTGCGGCTGCTCGTGATGGCGAAGACCTGGTGTAGACTTTGGCCAGGCTGACCTCGGGTCTCCAGGAAACTATAATGGCTTAACCAGCAAATTTCCGAAAAATAGAGATTATGCTGGGGCCCTCACAACAAGTGAGGACAGGCTATTCAAGTATCAAGTAAGTAAATCTTAGTGATGAATTCTATACTTTACCGAGTATTTCTATGGCAAGGAAGATTAGTGGTCATTTTTTGTAAATAGCAACAAACATTCTTTTAAACTTCCCAATTGTTTACCGCCTCATCGTGGTTGGAACATGATCCTGGATGTCCGGCTGCATTGTATAACGGGGAATTTATCCTCCCGGAGGATCTTCCAGGCTGAGAATGAGTCCAGCATTTCCACCAGAAAACCCAGGTAAGAGTAAACCAATGCCAGGATCCACCACAGTCTTGGTATTAAGCTAATCGCATGGTGGCAAATCTTTCTCTGAACCACAAGGACGACGACTGCTAATGCTCGTGAAGAGCAGACGGATTAGGCTGACTTCGTGGCTCGACAATGGCTAAGCCTGCGAAACTCCGAAACAATGGGAATTATTCTAGATCCCACACAACCAGTGAGGATGAATCATCAAGTGTCCAAGTATACGAATTAACTTTTGAGATTTTCGGTTTATATGGAACTGCTGTAAAAGTGTTATTCGTGAAACGAATAAAAATTGCGTGAAAATCCCTTGTAAATTTGACAATCTTAAAAGATACTTGGTACTTGATACTTGAACGGTCTGTCCCCAATGGTTATGCGGGGTTCTTCATAATCCCCATTTTTCGGAGATCTGATGGTTACGCCATTGTGGGTCCATGAAATCCCGAGGCCAGCCTGGCCAAAGTTTGAGCCAGGTCGTCACCACGACAGGGAGTCGTAGTCCTTGTGGATCAGAGGGCGATCTTCCACCATGCGACCTTGATAGCAAGACGGTAGTGGATCCTGTATATTGGTTTATTCTTAGCTAATCTTTCTAATGGCAACACCGGATTCCTTTCCAGCTTTGGAGACCGTGCCGGAGAGACGAATCCCTCCCTCTCTACATCGCAGTCCGACACTCGGGAACACCTCCCAGTCACGATGAGGTGGTGAACCGTTGGGAGGATCTCAAAAGATACTGATTATTAATGCTAAAGCAAGATAATGGTCTGTCTTAAAAAGGAAGCAAACTTTTAATTTCTTGTTCTGAGGATGGGGAGTTCGAGAACCGATCACGCACAGAAACTAAACTTTCCCAAAAAATCTGTTATTGAAGGTTTTTCAAAATAAGCCGCGAATTATAAAAATGTTATCGATGGCTCCATAGAAAAAAGGACTAGTTTTTATATAAATACGACCTCCAATTTTTAGCTGTTGTAAACCAAATAAATTGAAAATTTAAACTTAAAATGAAATTCACTACGGAAGATATTTATCAAAATAGAAACCACTAAAATCTAGCACTGTTTCGACAAGAAACGAGGTTACATAAATCGTTAAGTTAAGATCTCATCTTTCTGAATTACGGCATCTCACTTAATGCATTTCGGGGCACAACCTATTGCTATCTGCCGTCTGAGTTTTGCCCCAAAATAGTTTCAACTATTTCATTTTCTCGATTTTCTGGCCGGAACTCTCTGTTTAAATAAAGTTCCTATAACTCACGTCTTCGTAATAGGGATTGATCACTCCAATCACAAAAACTTACCGTAGCAATATTCACATGCAAAATAGACTTAGGTCAAAGTTCCTGTTATTGATGTTGGCTCATTCTATCAAAAGTAGATCCATGCTCGCTGTGGAGAATGCATTTCTGTGGCTTATTATAATCAGATCGCGTATCGAAACGTTTATATCTTTAAATCATGAACGTCACTAGGTCGCTCTGCACCCTGTGCATCTTCAAGATGCTTATCTACGTCGTAATGCGTCCACAATCACCCTTGTACCGTTCACTCTCGGGAATTTACATTACGAATTATTATCTTTTTTGGATGAAGTGCTGAGATACCTGCAAAACTCCGGACCACAGGTGTTTGCAGTGGGGAAAGAACACGCGCTGTTGTCCTTACCGAGGAGCAGCGCACTTCACCACTACACCATTCGGGTCCTTCGCTTTGCATGTATCTCAGCTAGTTCTATCGATCTTTTTGCCATCACCAATCACCCGTCAACGGGATTGATCTGGGGAGCCAGTATCGGCATTGAACCCAGTTAAGCTGAGGCCTCGTTATAATCACAATCTTAACTCTTTTATTTACTGCCTTTTTCTTCTTAATGGCAGGGTATGTTGTGAAATATAACTCGTATGAAGTGCTGAGATACCTGCAAAACTCCGGACCACAGGTGTATGCAGCGAAGGACCCGGATGGTGTAGTGGTGAAGTGCGCTGCTCCCCGGTAAGGACAACAACGCGTGTTCGTTCCCCACTGCATACACCTGTGGTCCGGAGTTTTGCAGGTATCTCAGCACTTCATACGAGTTATATTTCACAACATACCCTGCCATTAAGAAGAAAAAGGCAGTAAATAAAAGAGTTAAGATTATCTTTTTTGGGTTTGATTTTACACAAATGCTTCGGGGTTGTTTTTTTAACTTCTGCATCATACGAAAGTGGCTTAATAACTCAAAAGACCGACTTTGTATAATAATCGATGTATCTATTTATATGTCCTTGCAAACTGATCTTTTAAAGCTGATACAAGATTGGTATAGTTGTCGTTGTTGTTGTATTCGTATCTCCTCGCAACAGCACGGCATTGAAGAAGGCGAAATCGCCGAAACGTCAGCCATCGGCCACCAACAACAACAACGACACAAAAAATCAGTTTACAAGAACATGTAAATAAAAGAGGATTAACTCGTATATAATGCTGAGATATTTGCAAAACTCCGGACCGCAGGTGTATGCGGTGGGGAACGAACGGGCGCTGTTGTCCTTACCGGGGAGTAGCGCACTTCACCACCACACTATCGCACAAAAAAAGGATTAATTTAAACAGCAATTAGTGTAAAAATTAAAACTATTAGTACTAAGTTATAAGGCCAATTTTGTGCTTCTAAATGATGAATGAAATTCGACGAAAGGTTTAAAATATCATTTGAAAACGAATTTTGAATATTTCTTTTCATTTCTCTATAACCTCACTCAAAAAAATCTAGCCATGTTAAATTTTAGACAAAGCAATAGAACTGATTATCGTTGCATAAATTACTTTTCGATTTTTTAGTTATGCGGAACACCAATCAAAAAGTGCAACGGGACATCGATGACTCCATAACTTTTGGCAGTTATTCCGCCACATGCAGACTATGTGTCCTTTTTTTGAATAAATAGCTCATACTTTGCATGGAAGCGAAGTTGTCTTGTCTCACAAGTTTCATTCATGTAAATAACCATTGATATAAAAATAGAGTTGGCCATGAACTAATGTGGTGTATGCTCAAGGAATGAGGCACTATAAAGGGTAATGCTCTCGGCCTTGATCAATCCCTGATGGATGCGCCATGCATTGAATGACTCGTGGTGGCCTACCTACGTATCGAGCCAGTTATCTTCCCAGACAAGTCCGATACCAGTTTGCCAACCCCGGAGGGATGGAAGGCTTGGTGGGCTATGGGAGCGGGGATCGATTCCACGTGTGTGTCGCTGTAGCACCTCCAACCAATGCTCCACACGTGCCCCTACCTAGCCCTAAGCCGAGGTACTATATAGGTCGGTATTTACCTTGTTGTAGTGAGGGAATGGTGGGGCATTGAGTAATAGAAGCTATAATAATGGTAGTATAACTTGATACGTGGTACTTGAATGG